CTCAGAAATGGAAAGAACTATCCAGACATTTGTATGGAATAACAAAAGACCACACATAGCCGAAGCAACGCTGAGCCAAATAAATAAAGCTGGAGGCATAACACTACCTGACTTTAAACTATACTTCAAAGCTATAATGACCAAAACAGTATGGTACTGGCATAAAAACAGACACACTGATCAATGGAATAGAATAGAGAATCCAGAAATCAACCCATACACCTACAGCCATCTGATCTTTGACAAAGGCACCAAGCCTATACGCTGGGGAAGAGTCTGCCTCTTTAGCAAATGGTGCTGGAACTGGATATCCATATGCAGGAGAATGAATCTAGACCCATACCTTTCACCATACACTAAAGTCAACTCAAAATGATTAAAGAATTAAATATACACCCTGAAACAATAAAACTTGGAGAAAATATTTGCAAAATATACATCTGACAAAGGATTAATATCCAGAATATACAAGGAACTCAAACAACTTTACAGGAAAAAAACAAGGAACCCAATTTAAAAATGGGCAAAAGAGCTAAGCAGGCATTTCTCTAAAGAAGATATACAAATGGCCAACAGTCATATGAAAAAATGCTCAACATCACTCAGCATCTGGGAAATGCAAATCAAAACTACATTGAGATACCATCTCACCCCAGTTAGGATGGCTAAAATCCAAAAGACTGTGAACGATAAATGCTGGTGAGGCTGTGGAGAAAAAGGAACTCTCATGCATTGTTGGTGGGACTGCAAAGTGGTGCAGCATCTTTGGAAAATGGTATGGAGTTTCCTCAAACAATTGCAGATAGATCTGTCATATGACCCAGCTATCCCACTACTGGTAATATACCCAGAGCAATGGAAAGCATCAAGTTGAAGGTATACCTGTTCCCCAGTGTTCATCGCAGCACTCTTTACAATAGCCAAGAGTTGGAACCAGCCCAAATGCCCATCTTCGGATGAGTGGATATGGAAATTGTGGTATATCTACACAATGGAATACTACTCAGCTATAAAAACGAATGAAATACTGCCATTTGCAACAACATGGATGGACCTAGAGAGAATTTTATTAAGTGAAACAAGTCAGGCACAGAAAGAGAAATACCACATGTTCTCACTTATTGGTGGGAGCTAAAAATAAATAAATAAATTTACATGCACACACACAAAAACCAGGTGGTGAAGAAGACTTAACAACTACAACTCCTTGAAGTTGATACGACAAGCAAACGGAAAGGACATTGTTGGGTGGGAGGGGGGAGAAGGAGGAGGGAGGGGGGTTCGGTAATGGGCCACAATAATCAACCTCATTGTATATCGACAAAATAAAATTAAGAAAAAAAAAAAATAATGGGCCGGCCCGGTGGCGCACTGCTGCAGTGTGCCGCTTGGGAAGCGTGGCGGCGCTCCCGCTGAGGGTTCGGATCCCACATACAGACCGGCCGCTCACTGGCTGAGCGAGGTGCGGGAGCGACACCGAGGGTTGCGATCCCGTGGCCGGTCCCGGTCCGGTACGGGCGCGACACTGAGGGTTGCGATCCATTGCCGGTCATGAAAAAAGACAAAAAGGAAAATAATAATAATAATAATAATACTGTAACGATAAAAAATAAATAAAAATAAAAACAAAAGCAAGCCAAAGGGGGGGAAAAAAAACCAGTAATCATGTCCAGTTGAACCAAATGTGTAGTCTTGAAGTAGATTCAAACTTACATTTTTTACAATGTAACTATTATACAACAACTTTTATTTCGACAGTTAGATATCAACATCCTGACATTAACTTAGACCTGTTCATATTACCAAGCTCCATGTGAGTCATTTAATGAACAAAATTATGGGGATAAAAAAATTAAATTGTTTAGAAAATATATTTCTAATTGAAAAAATGAAGAAAATTATTGGACATTGGATGTATGAATTTTGAATATGTAAAAATAAAATACTGTTACTAACAAACCATTGTGGAAAGTGAGAAAGTTGATTGATAAAAGGTTACTCTCAAAAATACATTAAAAATGGCTATCAGTAAGTAGTATCAGTGTCTGTGGTCCACACTATAGGTAATCTAAGTAGAGGAATTTTATATAGGATCATTACATAAAAATACTCATAACGTTCTAGGATTACATTCATAACATTATATTTATAATGTAAATGTAAATACAGTTTGTTATAATGCAACATGTTTTCTCCCAAATTACTACCCTTTGCAAAAGCAAATAGTTAAAGCCTCAAGACTTCTGAGAAAAATGGGTTAGGAGTACAACACTCAGAAACTTCATCAGTGACACATTAAAAAAACACAGGAACCTAATGGAAATAGTAGCATAGTTTTTACACATGTTAAAATGGTTAAATACATAAATACTACACAAACATGACACTTTACTTTGTAGAAAACCTGAGGTTTGCGTGTGGAACGAGCCTTCAGAATGGTCACAGCTCGTGTGTCACTGTTAAGTGATGGAAAGGTAACAGCTGCAGCACTAAGTGGGTGTGGTTCTTAACACAGTGAACCGCCGTAGCTGGTTGATGTGTGAAGTGTGCACATCAGCGCAGTTTCCTGTGTTCATGAAATCATGCTTAAGCAAACTGAAAATCTGTGTGCTGTTCAGGTTGTTCTCTGAATTGTCAATCTCACTGGAGCAAATCTGTATTTTCAAAACGGGCATTGTAGGAGAACTGACTGTGATTGAAGTACTACATAGTTATTAAAAATGGTTAGTTTAATCCTGGGGATGGATGAGTAGAAAGTATCATTTGTAAAAGTTCCCATGTTGATTCTTGAGAGGCTGAGTTGATTCTTGACACAGTGTCTCATCTTATTCAGCATCATATTAAACTATGAAAAATAAGTTTGAATCACAATGTTATATTGGTGGAGCTGTGGTGATATCAGTACTCATATATTTGAGCATTTCCCACTTTGCTAATTTGATTGTAGTTTTACCTCTTCAGTCTCTCTTAGCTTGTTTTCAAAGTGAGGAGTTTTCAAGCATCACCACGGGTTAAGGAAATTCTCAGCTGTGTGAAGATTTCTAAAGCTTAGAAAACTGGCCAAAATATAGGTCTCTTGCTTCCCAAGGAGGGAAAAACCTCTAAACAAGTTAATAGTTCTAAGAGACCACAGATGTTACATGATCAGTTATGATCATATGAACTACATTTATTTGACAATGCTTTTTGCTATGAAGAGTCAGCGAACAATAACGTTGTTGGCCTTAATAGAATGCTTACCCCAACAATTTAACAAAAACAAAACAAAACAAAAAACCACTATATGCTTTTTAAATCTTGCTTTAAGATTAGTCAAGTTAAAGTTTTTTCCCTATGTGAAATTTTTTATTATCTTGAATCCTTATTCTACTTAGTGTAGATATAAAAAGTAATCTTTCATCATATCTGTGCAATTAATAATTTTAGCACCACAGAAAATGTAAAATTTTTCCAAGAAAAATTGCTGTGGTTATAATAATGATCAGAATTTACCAGTGAAAAATAAGAGCTATGCAGGTTCAAGAAGTACATTCATTAAGTACAAAGACAAGAAATCATTGCTCTGACTACGCTGCTGTGTCCTGGTTCACTAAAGTATCGTTAAGGTATTTGAGTGACTGAAAAAACTATACTGCTGTTTTTCCTTTTTGTCAGTGAAAGATAAAGCAGAAATACTTCTGCAAGTTGATGAATCACAGAGTATCAAGAATGAGCTAACTATACAGGTAAGGATCTGTGAAGCACAGATGACTGGTTTTCTTAAGCTATTCTTTAGTCTTGAATTATTAAACTTGACTAAACAGATATGCAGCCCATCAACACTGCAAGAAAGCGATATAAATTGTACTTTATTATTATTATATAACAGCAAATAACTGAAAATTCTGTTGACTGTGCTAAGGGAGGTTTGTGTGTCCTGAAGAATGAAGGAAGATAAGGTTGTTTCTTACTGGACAGTGAATATAGAGATGTAAAGGGCAGATAGAACTTATCCTCCCTGGACTTGATTTTTCTCCCCTTACATCCTATTCTGTCTTCTCTTAGGACAGTGAGCTTGTCCTATCTACCTTGAATGTACAGCTGTTTACAATGCCTAATGGAAACTGGGGGAGGGTTTCTCCTCTGATACTTGTTCATCTAGTCAAAAATCATCAGTGTGAATAATTGTTAAGAATTAGAGTATTTGCCAAAAGAGATAAAAAGTCTTTTTCTTACCAAATGTTGGTTATAGGTGACTTCTCTTCATGCTGCATTAGAACAAGAAAGATCTAAAGTGAAAGTATTACAAGCAGAATTAGCCAAATACCAGGTATGCTTTTATAATTTTGAAGTGTTTTAATCACTAATAATACATTTGGAGTAGATACTATGTGAGACTAAATGGACTATTTTATTCTTAGGCCAAAATTTACTCACCAGTATATTAATAATTTTATTATTGCGCATATAACTTACATTTTAGAAAATGTTAAGGTTATTCTAGATATTGGTATAAATAGCAATAACTAAAGTAACTCAGGAAAATCCTTGGTACTACACATAGATGATGTGGCATATGTGCTATTGAATCATGTTGGGGAAAGGCACATAATGACATTTGTCCCATTAAATCATAAGTTTGATCACTTAGGTATAGTGATATCTCCATTTTAAAGATATATTTTCCCTTTTATAATTAATAAGTAATATGTAGGTTGATACATTGAGATTGTGTGAATATCCTTTTCACCTGATGGTTTTAGCATCCATTGAAGATATTTGTATCAGTTATTATTTTATTGATTGCAAAGCAGTGATTTTCTAATTCTACCATTCCTTCTGCTAGCATCCAACATTTTTTTTCTGGATGAAGCAATAAAAAATATCAGTGCTTTGTTACAATATGTGTGTGTAGTGTGTGTGTGTGTCTCACTCCCACATATATGTTTGTATGTACATATGTATGTGTGTTTAAATCATAATATGAAATGCATTAATTAATGTGGGATCACAGACAAAAAAGCTTGAAAGCCATTGGTGGTATAGGGAGCATAAAAGTTGTTTAGCTCTAGCTTTGAAATCTGTAATCAGTCCAGGGATGAGAGCTCCTTTACCTGGGACACTGAAAAGGATCATGTATGTTAGTTGTTTTGGTTTTTTAAAAACTCTCATTGGGAAGCATGGGAAAAGTTTGTTATATAACATTGGTATTTATGTATAGTGAGGGTCTACCTTAAAGAAAAAAAATTTTTTTGGCTAAATTTATTTTCCTGCTATCTAACAGGAAATAAAATCTTGTATTTAATACGTGTCATTATACATCTCATGTCCCACAAAACCTGTTCATACTGTTTTTCTCTGAATAAATCTTTGCAGAACTTTTATGTGGTCAGTAGTGAATAACAGCATTCTTATGCTTGGGTGATTTTTTGTTTTATTTTGTTTTAGAAGGTTGATGTAGAAATGTTTTTGATCCCGGGAGGGAAGCTCTAGGCAGAAGAAGGATGAAGGAAATGAAGAGAAGCTGTCATCATTATCATGAGTCCGGGCTCCATGTGCCCCCGATAGGGCCACCACTTTAAGAAATGCACTTCCACAAACAACTAGTTCCCAAACCTGGCTAATATCAGAATCACTTGGAAACTTTTGAATTACACATTGTCATCCAGTTAAATAGGTGTAGGCCAAGGCCTAGACATCAGAATTTTTAAGTGATGCTAATTACTTAAGTGATGCTAATGATCAACTAAGTTTGGGTACCATTGCCATAGTTTTTAAAAATGGGAAAAATGATAAAACTATGATAAGGTAAATGCTCAAACCATTATTTATGGGTAAATTGGGGGGTAGAGTAGTTATGGATGATTTTAATTTTCTTCTTTGTACTTTCCATATTTCTACAGTGAGTATTTGCTTTTTAAATCAGAATAAAGCAGAACATTTTATGTTAAAAGTAATTTATGTAAAAGTCATATTGTCTTTTAAACTGCCTACCATAAGTGGTGTTTCAGATGGAACAAATTAAATACATATTTATACCTGCTGAGCAAGGTGAAAAGTATAACCTACTTTTCAATCCACTGATGAACAAAATCAAGTTTCTGATGGTGTCTAATACGAACAAAAACTAGACAGAACTTGAATTATAAATTGAATTACTCAGAAGATAATGAACTGAATTACTAAATTTGCTGATCATATGGAGCAAATTAAGTGTGTGGTTTATTTTGGTATTGATTAAAAACTTTATTTTTTAAGACTCTGAGACAGTCAAAATGAGCTCTAAAAAAAAAAATGAGCTCTAAAAAATAAGATACCAGTGATCTCACTAAGCCTAGCCTAATTCAAATGAAAGTAACTATTTTGTACAAACTGCTTTAACCATTTATAAAAAATAACCATATAAAAATAATTTAGTGTATAAAATCAAATTTATAACAAATTCAAAAAAGAAATTACTTCCTTCTCATATTCAAAAATGCCTTTGGTCTCATATATTCATAAAATGAAAATGGCCCCCAAATGGTACTTGTTAAGTAATTTCCTCTATTTTTCTTTACAGGGTGGCAGAAAAGGGAAAAGAAACTCTGAATCTGACCAGTGTAGGTGATTACATTAGCCTTTGAAGTCAACACAAAAATGAAAACTTTCAGGGTTTTGCAAAATGTATTATATTTAACGCTGTGCAACTGCTAAACTATGCAGTTTTTGTTGAAGGAACTTAAAGCAACTAGTTCATTAACAGTCTATAATTTTATGTTCTTTTGGCTTAAAGTGAAAAGAAGAAATATAGAATTCCAGCAGAACTCGATGATTATTGTTTACTATCCATACTTCTTATCACTTTAGTTTTTCATCATTCAATAAAGTTAATTTACTCTTCCACTAATGTTTGATTTTTTAAGTTTCAGAAACAATGTGAAAGTATTTTTCCTATAGCACAATCAAATACGGTTGATATCCTCAAGTAGCTTATGCTTGGGGAAGGAGAAAGTGGGGGCTGGGTAAAACAGAAGCAAACAATAATTACCATACATATCACATTGTTTAGGAATTCAGAAAACTTGCAGGAGATAGTTTTTAGAGGGTAAATACTTTTTCTGTAAATTGTTGAGGCATTCCAGGCAGAAGGAACTAAATCTGGGCTGAAAGATTTGTTTACAGAAGAGTCTGGCTTGAGAACAGTAGCATGACACACTGGGAATAGAAAGAGTTTTGGTGTGTGAGAGGAAATGAATGGGAGATTTTTCACTGCTATAATCAATTGCTAGAATCATTAGTAGTTTATGGGATTCGGTATTTTTAGTTTAGTCAATGAAATGCAATTATGATTTATTAAAACACAGGAGTTTTTTGTGTATGTGATTACAAAAATGAACACATAAATACTAGTCTTGGTCGCCAAAACCAGCATTATATGGAAGATTCATGACAGGTTTTGAAGGAAAAAAACCACTTAAACAGAAACTAATGAAGTTGTCATCGTTGCTTGTATGTCTGGCTTCTTTCGTGAGGTTGTATGACTTTGCAAAGAACTGTGGCTAATTATTCCCTGTATTCCCAGTGCTTAGTCAGCTGTAAGGTACAGAGTAGGTGCTAAATGTTTAATTAATAAAGTGGTAAAGCTTTTCGAGAGTCTTCTCCTGAGTTTACCTTTGATCAAGAATAGGTACCATCAGGGCCGAGCCCGTGGCGCACTCGGATCCTATATAGGGATGACCGCCGGTGCGCTGACTGGCTGAGCGCGGTGCGGCCGGTCTCAAAAAGGACAAAAAAAAAAAGAATAGGTACCATCAGAACCTAATTAAAGCATTAAATATGTATAGTAATATTCCATGACAATATATTTTTCAACTCCCTGATGAGCAGAGTCAGATTTCTAATGCTGTCTTACTTAAATAAGGCTAGACAGAACTTGAATCAGAATTGTTTCAATTATAATTTAATTACTCCAGTAGTTAATGAACTAAGTTACCAAAGCACACTCTACTTTCATCTGCTTTTGATCATCTACCTGCACACTCTCTACCTGGTACATCATCTAACACCCAGCACAGCACCTGGCACATGGTAGACGTTACTGTGCCATTTTCTACTAGTGTATGTTGGATAAAAATCACCTGGGCACATAGAACTCTTTATCAATCTCCTCTTTTGTGTTGTGCATTCTCTAAAGAACTGTATTGATAGCTGTTTTTTCCCCCTCAATTCTGTTTTCCTCTCCCTCCCTGTGGCTTCATCGATCACTTCTAGGCCAATTTCAATTTCATAGGGGAGAGCTTTATCTAGTGAGAGACAGAAGACAGTTAGTCGTCAGTTGGTGATGTCTTCAGTTCTGTTATTTGAAATCTCAGTCATTCTACTTTAGTAGGATATCACTTAGATTTTTTTCAGATTCCTGAAAGTTCAATGAAATTATTGATAGCTCATTATGTGCCAGGTGTAGTGCTAAGTATTGAAGATGCAAATATAATGAGTCATCCTTGTACTCAAGGTATCCACAGTCAATTGAGAGAAAACAAAAGTGTAAACAAGTAATCATAAATAGCCCAATAAATAATAATACTGATATATTCAAACTGATAATGGAGAATAGAAGAAAGTACATCTCACACTTTTAAAGGGGGTATTTTAGACAATTTATTTTAATTATTTCAAACTTCATTAATGTCTTACTTAAAATGCGATTATGGCAATATAGCCAGTTAATAAAATTCAGCAAATATTTTTGACATCTTCTATAGTGTGTTAGTAGAGCCAGAAGAGCTAGAGGTATGTTCAAGTCCCAGTTGTATTACTTAATAGTTGTGTGACCTTCGCCCATAATAAGTACTCTGTAAATTATTGATTGACAGAGTGAAATTGGGTATCAAATTTTTTTCTTTTCTGCAGTCACATTTAGGATTTATTTCCAATTTAGTTAAATGCACCATGATAACTCTAACACCTTATGCTTTCGTTATCAGTACAGATTGGCTTTTGAAAAAAAATCAAAATGCTCACATTTTTGTGATTATTTAATGTTGCAAAAATTTAGTGTAGACACTTAAATTTGCTTAAACAGTGGCTACCAATGCTATGGACAATTTTGGCTGACTCCAAAGAATGTGCAAGAAAACAAAAGTTTGTGACAATTCTTAAAAAATGGGTATCAAATGAGAACAGATAATGAAAGTATTGAGTAAAAAGCTAAGATGCACTCTCTACCTTCAAATTAATTTCACTCCATTAGGAACAAAAGAGCATTGCACATAAGTAACTAAAATTCCAGATAGAATACGTTGGATTCCACAACGATTTTTCTTCTTTCTTTTTTTCCCCACAATAATTTCATGAGAGAAGAAGAGAATATATTTGTTCAGGAAAGTCAGGTATTACTTATTTAAAAAAGAACATTTTAAATTGCTTCTTGTTGGGCAGCTTTTGCACAGAGTTTTAAAGGGTAGGGTGCAGTCAAGGAAAATAAATAAGGGAAGAAGGAAAAGTGATAGGTGTGCTCAGGGAGCAGAGGACAGGCTGTCGAGGGAATCGAGGGCCTTGGCTTCACCTGGAGCCTGTCCACCTCGGGCAAGACTGGGAAAGCCAGAAAGGTGGTTTGGGGATAGCCGTTACCCATCTGGATTTCAGGTTAAGAAGTCTGTACATAACTTGATAGATGCAGGGAAACCACTAAAAGTTTATGGAAAAAGGAATGCTGTAATCAGAGTTTTCTTTTAAGAAGACTGAATTAGCATTGGTGTAATAGAAAATTATAGAAGAAAGCAATTTGGAAGAGTATCAAAGAGGCTTTTACAATAGTAGAAAAAGGAGGTGAAGGGATTTGAACTAGGAAGGTGGCAGTGGGATTCAGAAAATGAAATTAAAATCTCCATGATGGAGGCTAACAAACTTGTGAAGAGTGAGAAAAAACAAGGGCATCAGAGACAAAAACAAGTTCTCTCGCCTAGATGAGAGAGAGAATGATCATGCTGTTAATAAATAGGTCAAGTGACAGAGGAATTATCATGGGGAAGTGGACAGAATTGACTTTGAACATGTTAAATTGGATTTGCTCACAGAGCATCTAAAAGTAGAGTCCATCAAGTTGGAAATACAGGTCTAGTCCTTTGTGGAAAGGCTGGAGTTACGGATTTGGGATCCATATACAATTAAGGTGTATGAATAGTTGACACACCCAAAGGAAAATTATTTGAAAAAGAAAAGTATTGCTGAGGATAGACTTTAGGAATGGTAGGAAACAGTGGTCAGAAAAGTGGCAGACAAGATTATGAACGTTATACAGAGGTCTCGGGTTATAAGCCCAAGCAAAGGAGAAGCTATTGGATTTAACAGCTAGAGGACATACTGACGACCTTCAAAGTAGCTTGTTCAATGGCACAGAGCAAGGTATTGAGGAAGTTGAACTCTAAGACTTTTGGCATTTTAAGAAAGGGGTCTTGTGCCTTGAATGGGCTACAGAATGAGGGAGGATTGGTTTGTTTTTATTTAGGACAGAGGAGACTTTTAAAATATTCATAGCCAGTGACAAAGGAGCCATTTAAGAATACAAAGAGGATTAACTGCAGAGCACAGAAAAATGAAATAAAAATTAGTAATTTACTTGCCATTATATAATTTGGTTGCCTTATCAACAATCTCTAACTTGTAGTTTAATTAAGCTGCTCTTCATTCACCAAATTACAGCCCTTTCCATATAGTAATTTTAAGAACATTTAAACAGAACTTAAGGTTTTAAAAAAGAAATAGGAAATGATTTCATGACTCGGACATTAGTAAACTTCCACAATGTAGCCAGTGTCATTGACTGTGGGAAGGAAAATTTTCTGAAACAGTGGATGGGATGACACGTGAAAGCCTGAGATCCTCCAGAGTTGTAAATCATTGAGGAATTGTTCTTTTTTTTTTTTTTTCCTTTTTGTCTTTTTTTACTGACCGGTAATGGGATTGCAACCCCCAGTGTCGCGCCCATACCGGGGACCGGCAATGGGATCGCAACCCTCGGTGTCGCGCCCGCACCGGACTCAGCCAGTGAGTGGGCACCGGTCTCCACATGGGATCCAAACCCTCAGTGGGAGCGCCGCCACGCTCCCAAGCGGCGCACTCTCCAGTGCGCCACCAGGCCGGCCCGAGGAATTGTTCTGAGGTAAAATTTTAAATAGAATTTAAAATGGCACTCACTTAAAAAGTCAACACCCACTACTGGTGTCGTTGTTATGAAGTGATATCCATATGTACATTGCTTTCAGCCTCTTGGAAAAGCCCTATGGTAATATGTTTCAAGAGTCATAAAAATGTTTATGACCCACTAATCCCAATATTGAGTAATACACCCTACGAAAATAATTTGAGAGAAGGATCTATATACAGGAAAATAGTAACTATAATAGGGAACCATGGAAATAACCCAAATATTCTTCTTTATTGGCTAATTCAAATATCCAACTTGAATGGGACTAATTAGTATTATATATCAGTGGGAAGTGTTATTATGCATTTTTAAAGAAGTATAATTAGGATGACCGTGAAAACATGAATATGTTGAACAAAGTTAAAATATAAAAACAAAGTAAAATCTGTGCACTGATTACAACTATGTGAAAATATACATATGCATATGGACAAACTGGAAAGTGCCAATTCCAAAATTAAACTGCTTAAGTTGGGATGGAGGAATTATGGTTAGTTGGGGTTTTTTTCTCTTTAAAATTTTATCTAACATACTGTTTTATGCAGTAAAAAAGGAAAAATCATACTGCTTGGATTTGTGTTAAGTAGGTTGCTGTCATGGAAGTAGGTTGTATCAACTTACTCGTTTTGACATGTTCAGTCAAAATAAGTGTTAATTATTGCAGCACATCTCCTGGTGCTGTAGGTTAAATTGTGTCCCCT